TGCTAAAATCAAGCCGGCCGATGTTATAATGCAGCGAATCATTGATCAGATGCCTAATCACGTGACCAGCATGAACTGTTGGAGCTATGGTGGAGCACTGATCTCTATTATACTAACTAATATCTAACTAAATCTTAGTTAGATACATAGAAGATTAGGTTTTGCGACGTGTGGCGCTTAGTAGAATCGCGTGTAGTGTGTCCGCTGCGGACGTTGCGAATTATATTCGCAATGGTGTGTCGCTCAATTTATCGCAATGCGGGTGCGAATATTTTCGCGCAGGAATTTCGCTGCGGATATGATCGCAGCGAAATTCGCATGCGTGTGTCCCTGTTTAACCATGCTACTGCGAATTCGCTGCCGATTTTAACAATCGCTGCGTCGTGGCGAATAAATTCGCATGGTGTGCATTATGTATATTTACTGTATGTTAATGTTATGATTATTTACATACTTGTGCATTTGTATGTGTATTGCATTGTACATCTCCATGTGTATTTACTTGTGTTACTATGTATTACTTGTTATGTGTGGTTACTTATCACGTTATGTGTATTTACGGCTGGTAAAACACGACTTCAACGCGCGCCTCTTCATGGTTATTAACAGAACACACTATACCTATTCTTAAATACAAATAGTGTGCATTGATTTAGTCCGGATCAGTGATCGCAGCAAGACAGATCACACACGCGCACACGCACAGCGCACAAGCACACGCACACCCCGCCCACGCACACGCACCGCCACACGCGCACGCACAGCACGACGCACGCACGCACGCACGCGCGACACACACACACACACACACACACACACACACACACATACACATACACACACACGCACATGCACGCACACACACACACGCACACACAAACGGCGCGAAAACAATACGTTCCGCTACCCTACGTGCGGAGGATATAAACCATTACTGCGAAGCGTTTGCCTACATTTTTTGAATCTACGTTTCAATGAGGTTTAAATGATGTCCCGCTCGATAATAAGTGAAGTGAGTGATTGGGATCAGTATTTTTTCACATCTACCTACTCCCGAGTATGTGCTCACGACAGGTGTAGCGTAGTGTGTATAAAGCCTAGCGCAGACCTGCGGTTTTTAGTTGCTCGTCGTTGCAACCTGCAACCGCAAGTGATCGATCGATGTGTCACCGCGTGTGCGCATACATGCGATTTCGAAGCAATTTTAGAGCAATTTAGGAGCGATTGGGAGCGACGAGTCGCTCAAATTCAAACAAGTTGGATTTCTTGCTACTCGTCGCAAGCGACCAGAATCGCTACGGGTTGCAGTTGCACATTCCCGCAGACGTAGCGATTTCACAGCAATTTTTTGCAGCGATTCTAGACTCGCTGTCAAGTTGCATGAAAAAATCGCACGTCTGCGCTACCATAGGATAGCTATGACAGTTGCCTGCTCAGGCCTTGACTGTGTCAATGAAAAACTGCGCAGTCTCATCTGTCCAGAACGCAAAGGGCGCGGTAAATAAGTTATTACTGTGAAGTGTGAACAAACAGCCACAGGAATATTTAAGCTCGTAAAACGCATGAGTTCAACTGCGTATATTGGCACAAAGCGCAAATAAATATACGTACACAATTAATCTGCTTTGAAGGACAAAGCAATTTTGTAGCGAAACGCAATTGACCGAGAAAGTAATTGAAGAGAAAGTAGGTGCACGTTTTTTAATGTAGTCACGCTCATGAGTTAGTTATAATTGTTACCGAGAAGAAAGGTCCACATTCACTACGATCATAGCATATTTTGCATATAATGCACGTTAGATCTCCCGTATATATCACCGAATACCATCTGTAATTTATATTTGCCTAGCTCTTGCACTTAGTCTATGCTCAATCTAAATGTTGATGCTCTGGCGAAGCAAAATCGCATCAACGTAAATTCTAAATGTCATATCATCATCTTCGTGCTAGAAAATCATTTGCGCGGGTTAAATGCATCATTCTCGTCTCTGCCATGCTCTACCTCGCTTTGACGTGGTGTCGTGTATTTTAGTCGACGGATTCAAAGTCGCCGACTACACCTTCCTAAAGTGCATCATCAGAATGCACGCGTGCGCGAGTATGCTTTTATGTATGGCGGCTCCGATGACAGCGATTAATCAGCACAGACATTGCATGAGACAACATGATTCTTCGTCACTGTTAAAGCTGAGTTGTGTTTCATGAATAAATGCATTTGCACCAATTGCAATTTGCAGCATTTTGCAGCAATATATAATATATACTAAAGCGCTGGAGTGACGATTTCAGTGTGTCTGTCCTTGTATACGCATGATAGGCATATTTCTACTCGCTCGTGATTAGATCTATATGAAGTATTTTTAACAGGGAATTGCCTACTATTGTTAGAGTCACCGTGTCGGTGAAAGTAGCTTAAATGTGTTCTTATATTTGCTGCAACCCAAGAGATTGGAAGGTGCGACTCAAGCTCAAAGGACAAAAACCTTTGTTTACAGTTTAAGGCGATATCTTCACTGACATGTTTCGATCGAGTTTGTTAATATAGCTTTATTATCTTCACGTTATGTGTCAATGTCAATTGCAGTGCTTTTATGTGTGCCTTCCAGTGCATGCTTGAATTAAATCTAAACCTGAATTCAAACAGGTATTTATTCCTATACTGTTTGTTAGTTGTGTTTTATTGATGATTGTTCGGGTTAAATAATGATGAAGGTTTTCATTCTCAAGCCTAGCGCGATGTATTCATTGAGAATTCATGTTTGTAGCGAAGTCTATATGCTAATGCTGATAATCCTGGCAATTAACAATACACTTTCAACAATATAATGTGTATTGTTTGTAGAACCTAACAAGAGACTATTCCCTGAAATATTTTTTTTATTGACCGGATGTTTAGGACCAAAATATTTTTAATTAACAATCTCGTCTTTGTTATAGTATCTATAGTGTTATTTAAAAAAAAATATAGGTCTAGCGATATTACTTTAATTAAACTTGAAATTGACATTTATTTAAATGAATTTATTAAAATACATAGTTGTTAGGTTCTACAACAATACACATTATATTGTTAGAAAGTGTTCAACAATACACACTGTATTGTTGAAAGTGTAATGTTAGTTACCAGGGGCCGGTTTCACGAAGCGTAATTAAGTCCTTAATCATGATTAAATCACTAATCATGATTAACTTCCCGTACTTAAATTGAAGTGACTGTTTTACGAAGCGTAATTAACTTTAATCATGATTAAGTTAATCACAATATTTAATTCTACTCAGGAGCATGATTAAATCCACTAATCATAATTAGTTGTTATTCTAAAAAACAACATGGAGGCCGCAATTATTTACGAGCGTATGAATGAGCGAATTATGAAGCAATATAGACATCGATACGATTTTATAAATACATTGAATGACGAGGAGTTAAGGCAGAGATACCGCTTCGGGAGGAAAGGAATAGCATTTCTTCATGATATAGTGAAAAACGATTTACAGAGGCCAACGAAATGTTCAAGATTATCTGGCTAATTAGAAACACAGGTGTGCGGAGAGGTGGCATCGTGTCCGTGTCTCCACTCCCGGGATCAATATCACCATAGACTAAGAATATCGTTAGTATCTGACAGTGTTTCTTAACCCATTTAAGTGTCATTCACCCTCGAGTCTTCATCACAAAGTTTCATGCACCCGCCACTAAATTTCCATATGTTTTTGGGAATTCTCGTCTTATTCTCCCTTGCACAATCTAACTTTAGATTGCCTAAAAACGGGGATAAAATCTCCTTAATTCGCTAGAATTCATGTTGCTTGATGCAAATAAGCGCTGGTAGATTGAAATACAGTATATAATATATAGAATTCTAATTCTAACAGAAAAGTAGCTTGCTACTACTAGAAAAAAAAAAAAAAAATAGAAAAACTAGAAAAATAAATTGCTAACTTGAAGTAAAGTTACAGTTCAATAGTTGCGTATGGCGATCCTCGGGAATATTTGGGAAATATCCTGCTACATTGAATTTAGAAAACCATAGGTAGACAGGAAAAACTTATCAAATTTCCAGCTCCAATGCCATTAAAAGCAATAAGAGCTTAATTACTAACGAATTTAATGGCAATGCCTTTTTTCAAGTATAGCGAGATATTTCATACAATATTTGAGTAAATTAAGTCATTCACCCTTCCTGCTTCATTTACCATTCATTCACCCCCTCTAGTTTCATTCGCCCCAAAATAATTTTATTCACCCTTGGGTGAACCATTAAAAAGCACTGATCTATGATACCACGGCGTCGTAGCTCTGAGCCCAAACTCCACGACAGATGGCGCTCTCGCTCTGGCTCTGTATCAACAGTGTGGTCAAACTGCATGCTGTGCCCCTTCCCACACTCAGGATAATACGTAGAATTGGCACTCGGCAGTTAGATGCGATATTGTATGACTACTAGGCACTTTAATTTAATTTAATTTTTTTTTAATAAAAAAAAGTTAGGGTTAGGGTTAGGTTAGGGTTAGGGTTTAGGTTAGGTTAGGGTTAGGGTAGGGTTGTTTTTTTTTTTTAAGTGCCTAGTAGTCATATCCTAAGTGCCTAGTAGTCATATAATATCGCCAGAGCGAGAGCGCCATCTGTCGTGGAGTTTGCAGTGTGGTATCATGATCCTGACTTGTACGAAGGGGGCGCTGCATGCAGTTTGCTCTCAGGCGTGGATTATGACCTATAGCAATTCATCCCTCTTATCTGGATCGTTCGTTTTAAGTATTTTTGGAAATCTACAGAACCCTTTCTTTGAATCACGAGTTGCATTATTACCATAGTTATACACTGCACCTAAAGTTGGCATGGTCGCACTTCTTTTGACTTTGCAATTTAAAGAATGTCGAGAAGCGTTGCAGCCTGTCCTCATTCACGCATAGCCATTTCGGTTGTGTATATCATCCAACATGGCTGACATCCGGTCCGGTGCGGCGGACATGACGTCACACGCACACGAAGAATCAACAACAGCGCGTCTCACAGACTTGTTTCTATCAGTGTTGTTTCTAGCATATATAAGAAAGTTTCTTGGAACTAGTTTTCATCGTGATTAGTAGCATAGACATAGTGGTGTTTCAATACTTGTTTATTTAGTACTAATCTGGTAGACCTTAATCAGGTTGCGTGGAGTTGGAGGAGGAGGATATCTTAATCAATTGTCCCATTTGAATAGTATTAATTGATAATGATCAAGGAAATATATGGCAAGGAACAGGCTTTGTGTTCCTTACTGTGTCTACATTCCTGTTGTGTTCCTTACTGTGTCTACATTCCTGTTGTGTTACGAATCTACATATCTTATAAGACCGATCTGCGCGTAGGAAGGACATGCAGGCTGCAACGCTTCTCGATATTCTTTAAATTGCAAAGTCAAAAGAAGTGCGACCATGCCAACTTTATGTGCAGTGTATAACTGTGGTAATAATGCAACTCGTGATTCAAAGAAAGGGTTCTATAGATTTCCAAAAATACTTAAAACGAACGATCCAGATAAGAGGGATGAATTGATATCAACAGCACGTCGTAAGCTGTGGTTTGTCAACATAAATCGCAAGGACTTAACAGAAGAAAAAGCAGAATATACTCGCGTGTGTGGCGATCACTTTATATCTGGTAAGAGCTCAATGTTAAAGCTATATTGACTACTGTTTAGAACGATCACAAGTTGAAACTTTGTTCATTATACCGTATTTTAATCAAGCACGAAATTTCGATTTTCGCACCTCGCAGGAAAACCCGCAAAGCTGTATGACAAGACGAACCCAGACTGGGCGCCAACTCAAAAGTTAGGACATGATAAGATCAGGACAATAACTCACCTGGCAGTATCTAGAAGAGACAGATCGAACGAAAGATATGCTAAGAAGGCTAAGCTTGAAGCGGCTGAAGTTTTAGTAACGTTGAATGCAGTAGAATTCTCCGATTCGGTTCTGTCAGGTAAGACTAAGAGTAGTCTCAGTTCAATTTTAACAACAGTGAAACTGTAATTGAGATCGCGGTACACCGTACGGTAGTATTTGTGTATGTGCGTTCATATTATTTTCAGTTTTTACTGACTGTCCCAAGTGCCTGTGATTGTATAGTCTATATATATATCTGACTAATGGTATATATATTGTTTTTTGTTGATCAGACCTTCCAGATCCAAACAATGAAAATATTCCAGAGAAGCATAGAGAAGTTGGATGCCAAACAGAACTTACTGGGTTGCAAATATCTGAATTGGAGCAATGCAATAGAGACATGACATGCGAGTTGGTGGAAATGAAGAAAAAAATACTGGAAGCTGATTTGACAGAAGCCAGTTTTAAGAACAATGATGAGAAAACCAAGTTTTATACTGGACTCACAAATTTCTTGGTTCTGCAGCAGATAATGTCAATGTGTGGTGGCTTTATACATTCTGGCACAGTCAACTCTTTAACCAAGTTTCAAGAACTGCTATTAGTACTTATACGCCTACGCTTGAACGTGCCCTTTCAAGATTTGGGTTATAGGTTTGGAGTATCGAGGTCAACAGCATGCAGAATATTTGACAAGTGGATTGATGTACTGAGTGTGAGACTGGAGTTTTTGATTGTATGGCCTGATCGAGAACTTCTACGGAAAACCATGCCAAACGTGTTCAAACAGAATTTTGGTGAACGTGTGTCTGTCATTATTGATTGCTTCGAAGTATTTATTAACAGGCCATCAGGTCTTATGCCAAGAGCGATTACATGGTCGAACTATAAGCATCATAACACTGTTAAGTTTTTAATTGGCATTACCCCACAAGGTGTAATTTCTTTCATTTCCAAGGCATGGGGAGGACGAGTCAGTGATAAACACTTAACTGAAAACTGTGGGATGTTACAAAAGTTAACCCCAGGGGATATAGTGTTGGCTGATAGGGGATTTGACATTGCTGATAGTGTAGGCCTTTATAGAGCCTCTTTGAAAATTCCTGCATTCACACGTGGTAAGAAACAGTTGTCAGCAATAGAGGTGGAAGAAACAAGAAAGATTGCCAACGTACGAATACATGTTGAGCGAGTAATTGGTCTCGTGAGACGCAAGTATGTTATTTTGCAAAGCATTTTAACGATAGACACTATAACTGCTAAGGCTGGTGAATCTGTGTCACCCATTGATAAAATTGCTAAAGTTTGCTGTGCATTATGTAATTTTCTGACATCAATTGTCCGCATTTGAATAGTATTCGATAATGATCAAGGACAATATATGGCAAGTAACAGGCTCTCTTGTTCATGGTGTTATCCATTCCTACCCGGCTTAGCCGCTCCTTACTGTGTCCTACATTCTTATTGTGTTACGAATCTACAGTGTGTTAATGAGACCGAATCTGCGCGTACCGTGTGTAAAAATACGCTGTATTAATCTTATGTTTATATTTAATCTTTATACGATGGGAAATGCTTGTTTGAAATGGCCTGGAGCAATAAAGTAATCCGTTCTCCGATTGGGTTTTGTTTGTGTGTCTTCCTTGTTGCTATACGACATCAATGCATCGAATCAGTCGAGTTTGACGAAGCAGTCCCGATCGGAATCTTAGACCCCGTGGTAATGCTGGAAGGCACGTTGACGCGGGACACTATTTTCACAAAGGGGATCGACGCAAGAGAAAATGACAATGTGAGTAAGGGGAACGTTTACAGCTATCGAAATGACAAACATTGTTTTGATAACTAGTTTCTGAGAAATGCTTTAATTATACATGTGATTATGTTAACGTCGTCAATTATATGGCGTTTATGCCAAGTAAAGATTCTACATGTAGCATCGTATACCGGTACAAGTTACAAGCAATACATTATCTTACCAATCGTGCAGTGCCGCGGGAGGGCAGACTAGGATAGGCAGCTAGAGCGCCCACACGTGACTAGCGCGTTGACAGGAGTGGATGTAGGATGTGGGCCCCTTGGTTCCCGTTTTCTGGCGTTACATCAGAAGTTGAACTAGCGTAGAATTCTGGTTAATAATACAAATTATATGTACTACAAATACAACTTCTGGCGCAGATTGCGGGCAGGTAAATCGCTCGATTAATTAATAATGTACAAAAAGGGATAATACGTGATGGGAACAATATACAGAAGATTGTTAACGTCGTGCAATTATAATGGCGTGTATTGCAAGTAAAACACATGTAAGTATCGTATAGGCAAAGTGAGCAGGAGCAATACATATCTTAAATCGTGCAGTGCCGGGAGCAGCTAGTAGCAGCAGAAGTGACACAAGTGACTAGTTAGGCGTTACGCATGTCAGAAGTTGAATTGGCGTAGAATGGCTGGTTAATCAATACAAACTACACGTCACTCAAGGTCAATACAAACTCGCGCACGCTCCGCGCGATGGACATGATCGACGAGGCTCCCGGCACGCTGTGCCCGCGAGGTGAATCGAGCTTACTGCCATAGCTTGACAGGAAGGGCAGTACGGACAGCTGTCTTTTGGCACATTTATCTATATTCTTAGCGCACTCTCCATGTGAAACGCAATCTTACTCGTGTACATCATACTATCACAGCCAATCAGTTGCCAACACTTGAGATTCTTACCTGCAATAGCACCATATGAAGGGCTCACCTTTCACCATCCAGGGATTCGTTTTCTTCTGGCAATACCGGATATTTTCACAGGCCTGGATATAAAACCATTTGGCCAAGAATTTTTCTGATAGTATGGCCACACTGTGAAAACTTGCTAGCCTTGAATTAGCACGCTTCTTCCCATGAACGTAACCTCTGGTAAACCGCTGGCATGTGCAGATCCCTTTCCGTCCAACAACAAAGTCACAGTAATTCGACATCAGTTATAAATATCTTTGGGCCTTTGTTACTTGATAGTAGTAGCTAGGCATGCTTCTGATCCAGTGAAATTGATAGCGATCAATTCTGGTCAGTCAGACAGCTGTATCTTTCCCCACTGCTTCGTGTACTTAGAATCTTTAGAACAAAATGGACACTTGTCTCATCAGACCTCTACCGCAGCAAGTCACATCACCAGTCGATCTGGTGAAGGGGCACAAGATGGGCCACTGAGGATTTTATATGCCAAACCACTGTCAGAAAAAACAAAACATAGGGTTTTTCAATTTCTAAACGGGTGTTTTTCACACGATCTTCTCTCTCATACCTTCCCTCGCAGTCTTTTTCCTGCGTGCAACCACATCTGGTCGCAGTAGAGGAGAATTTATCTGTCGAGCTTCTGGATAACATATGTTTTTTAGACTCCTTTGAGGATTTCAGCTGGGTTTGTATTGGCAGGTCCGGTCTGGCTTCACCTGGAGCGGTAATTCTGCCAGCACGCTGACTTGAACCAAACTTGTAAGACTGTGCTGTGTTGTCTAGTTTCATTTTTCGACTGCCTTCATTCCTTTCTGTCACTGACAGGGAAACTCTCTCACAGGCCACTGCAATAAATGCCACATAGTTCATGACATCTATTGTTCATTGTGAGTGTGGTCAATTGTTATTGGTGCGGACACCTCTTTTATCTCTTGGGCAGGGCAATTTTCATTGTAAGGTGCAATGATGAGACCAGTACAAGCAGAGTTTCCACCAGAAGCAGCAATACCTGAGTAAATATGTATGAATTTCCTCAGAAGATTGGGGCGTACCAGCTGTGCTCGTTTTTCTTTTCGCTTGTAAGGACTAAGGCGTAACTTAGTTGAGCTGGCTGTTCCCACAGAACAAAGTGTCTTGTGGCTTTTTTTCGCCCGAGGTAAAATCAACATCACTGTCACTGGCAGATAAGGTACTTTCTTTACGTGAGCTGGGCAACCATTTACTTTTTTCTTCTATACTGTTCTGGATTTTGCTTAACCTCGAACCAGCTTCAGCAGCAAAAAAGTAAGCCGGCAATGCCTGCTTGAACATGTCTTCGCTCATCCCTTGCATACAATCACAATGCTTTGGCGACGTAAAACATCGCCGCTTTCTGCTCACTTACAAACCACGTTTGAGCGGTTGTAACTCGGACGAGCTCGTGTGAGAGTGATTTATCGGCTTCGCTCCCTCGGAGAGTACTTACCATGCTTTCTCGCTGGTTTGGTAGTAGACTACCAACGCAGCCGGAAGACGACAGAAAGTTGTAACGCGCTCTAAACTCTTGTTAGGCCTTCATTTGTGGTTGGTTGCCCACGACGTTTGTAGCACTAGATAGTTTGACGATGTCGGGATATCTCTATCTCGTCGGGTCCACAACGAACAATGTCCAAATCTCATAAACTCGCCGGCTTATGCATTATGCGATCAAGACTCACAAGACTTCGACTTTTTTGTCTGAATGCTTGACTTGGCAGAGGGTCCAGAGAATCACAAAGGATACTTGGATAAGTCGCAGAGGCCGCTTCGTTTCGCATTGGTAACACGCCATTGCATTGATTGTAATAATCTTCCAACAATGGCGTCAGCTTTGTGGTCGTCACGCACTTTTGTCACGTGTTGCACGACGAAGAATAGGCAGTATTAATCATAAGCGTGTATATAATAATCCATTGTGAACATTCAGTGGTTTATTCATTTCTGTATTACATCGAGGGCCATTATGAATTATTAAGTTTTGCGTTAAATTTAAACGGTCCAGTCTCATAGGGGTTTATGTCCGGACCCAGGGTACGCCCTGGAACGTCCCTGGGTAGACGGTCCGGTATAGCCAGAACGTAAGCCTTGGTCAGCTATTTGAATGGTTAGATTAGGATTTGGGTTAGGGTTCGGGTTAGGGAGTAGGCGCGTCAAGCGCTCCCTAGAGCTCGTTAGTGAGTAAGGCGAGGTACGTTCGGCCTACTTAATGGTACAGGGTACGTTCCGGGTATATGCAGACCGTACCGGTACGTTCGCGGCAGTTACCCGGGGACCTAGACGCCTCTCTGAGGCATTGCTACGTGTCGTCTGCTTAGATTAAGTGTCACTCGGATGGTAATCGAGGTGGGAGCCCGCAGTCCCACACGCTACTAACTATATGCCTTTGTCCCTTGCAGGCCATTTCTATTACTGGCCCACAAGGTTTCGGACGCGAGAATTCGTCAAGTCTTTTCTGTGATTTTGCCGTCACAGCCACCAGCCGGTTACGAACAGAGACATTATGTTTTTTATAACAAGTGGAACACTGTTCACTCCCAAATGTTACCTCTGTGTCCCCCACGTAACTTACGGACTTCGCTGCAGCTATGGATCGTGCGCCGGCGCCACAATTCATTCGGCGCACGATCCCTACTGCCGCGGCTGATACTGTCCCGTAGGAGCGTTCCCGCGGTCGCGTGCGGCTTTGGCCGCGGAACTGGCGCGGCAATGATCTGCGCTTAGCGGGCTTGGGATTACACTCCTTCGGCAACCCGCTTTATCTAGTATCGTCTCATCTTGACAGTCTGCAGCGGAATATACCGCGGAAGCGGGTCGTCGCGCCACCTGTTGGCGCCATTTCCCAGATACTCGGCTGTCTACATTAAGAACCATTTGCAATGGTCTATGGTCAAATGGGGCGTATATCGGGCAAAATTCAGGAAGTTGTGGCGTTGCACAGACTTTTGGATTATGGACGTTAGGGCGACAGAAGTAACTCCAATGGCGTAATTGGAACTTTTTATTGGCTTGGCGCGTTCGTTTTTTTGGTATAAAAGGGATTTCGAATGTCTTTAATTACACGCCGTGATTTATTCTGGTAGCTTAGCGCTACCGCGTAGATGGCGCGACGAGCTCTCTTCGAGGGATGGTTGGAGAGAATTCCCACAGAAAGAACGGCAATTTAGGCCTTAGAACTGCCGCCGTGACGAGTTTGTAACGCTCGAGTTACTATAACTTTAGTGTTAGCGGAGATACTGTGGCGTGAATGAACCGTCCGTACCAGTCAATTGACACGGCCTAGGCTGAATGCGTGACTCGGCGTTTTTATTATCGTAGCCAGTCTTCCTTGCTCCTTATGAACCTGTTGCCCCGCCTCGCATCTTCCTCTGCAGACTCTAGCCCGTTGTTGCCGTTTTGCATATTACCCAGCCACTGGCAGGAAGATCAAGCCGCACGTACAGCACAACTGATCATCAGTTCGTTTAGACTGAGTGCCATCTAGCGGCACTGAGAGGACCGTGTACAAGATGGCGTTGCGCAAAAGATGCGTGTTACCCCGACCAGCTACTACTACTACACTAGTAGCTAGTAGTAGTAGTACTACTAAGTTACCAGCAACTACTCGTAGCTAGTACTAGTAACCTACCAGGACGAGAGC